GGGGGGGGGGGGGGGGGGGGGGGGGGGGGGGGGGGGGGGGGGGGGGGGGCTGTCAGTGCGACGTCCACGGCCACAGGTGGGTAAGATTTGAAGCATGCCGATTGGGATGCTTGGTCCAGGGAGGGCGCCGAGGCGTTGCGCTGCGCAGGCAACACCTGGGCATCATGGTGCCCTGGCCACTTGAATCCAAAGATGGGGCCAGGCTTGTTTGGATCGAGCAAATTCGATAGTGCTGTGACAGCACGAACAGCTTCTCTGAGGCCGCAAGTGTGACTAATTTCCTGATCAGCATGCTGCGTTATGCAGGCAGGCATGAGAGGCATGCACTGGCTGCCCATGGAGGAAAAATGGGGTGCATTGCACGATGCACAACAGATCATGTGTGTGCACTGCATTTTTTGGGGACTTGTGACGCCGGCACTGGCTGGGCAGCGAGTTGATGACTGCAATGGGGGCCTCGAGCCTGGATGGCGGGAGGATGGGGTTGAAAGCCCCACGATTCAGCGGCAAAATTCAGATGCATTTGTTGGAGACACATCAGATGGAATTTCACAACGCAGCCAACCTGGGCAGGTGGCGCTGACCGACAGTTGACGGGGACAAGGCGGTCATGCGGCTCAACACCTGGTCTTGTCCTGAGAGTGCAGCCTGGCGCCAGCTCCACTGCTTTCTGCATGCACGTGTATACAGCAGCAGCAGACAAAGGGGGCCTCCCCACTCAATCCAAAAGGACGCACCCGCGTTGTATTGCGTGATTGCAGGGTTCAGAATCAGGGCTTAGCCACCAGGGTCAGGCCGGATGCAACCAACCCAACATTGTCACGCGCACAGAGCCTGAACCTGTACTTATTGACGTTGGCAGCAGCAACTGCTGCCACCACCGCCGCGCCAGACTTGCCGTCGGCCGAGTAGGTGATGGGCAGGCTGGCCACCGTGGACGAGACAGCGCACTTGGATGGCGGCACAACGCCTGCCGAGCTGTACACCAGGATATAGTCTTTCACGCCTGAGCCCTTGACCTTGCTTGTGGGGTTGTCCGTTGCGGCCGCGTTGAACGTGACAGTAAGGTCGCCAGTGCCGCTCCCGCCACTGAACTTGGCACCCAGGTTGATGAGGTTTGCAGCCATTTTCGGCGCCGTCTTGTCGAACAAAAACGTTGCGCTCGCCGGGCCCCAGGGCTGTTTGTCTGCTGAGGAATTTCGGAAGAAGGCAGTCACTGTGCGCTGGCCCTCCACGATGAACTTGAGGGGCTTGGTGGCGATGTATGGCTCCCAGTTGAGGCAGTTGCTCGCCGCAGCAGGTATTCTCCTGGTGAGGCACCTGGGGAGGGTGCAGATGGGGGCGCAAGAGCAGCCCACGGGCGTTGAGCTTGCACGCTGTGTGGGCAACTTGACTGCAGCTCCCGAAGAGCTGCCAAGACTAGAAGCGCTTGTGCTGTGAGCCAGGCTGGCTGGGCGAACGCAGCAACCACGCTTGCCGTAACATGTGTGCGCGCGTGCACACATTGCTGACTGCCTGCAATCCATCACTGTGGCTTGCTTGCAGCGCTCAATAGAGACAAAGCCCCCGATGAGCCCGGGGACAGAACCAGTATGCAGCCTTGAAGCCTGTGTACACATTTCCTTCACCACTCACATCTGTTTTGCCACCGCCGTGACAACAAAGACCACTTTGCTTTGCTTGGTGGCGGTACTTGTAGGGTCAGCCAGGCCCAGCAGGCCCGATTTGGCGTCCAACCCAACTGTGGCAGAGCCGGGTGTGCCAGAGGTCTTGTTTGCTGCATCTCGGATCCACACATACACTGTCTTGGTGCCGTTCCCGGATGGCAGGGTCCAGGGAGTCGGACTCTTAAAAGGCTGGAAGTTGGTGCAGGTCGGTGTATCAGATATGCACCTGTGGTGGATTGACCAAGCCGGGATGAAGGCACATTCAGGATTTTGTGCGGTTGAGCAGCAACAGTGAGTGTTTGGAGGCAAGAACTGGCGGAGCAAGCTGTCAGACTGAAGTGCCCAGCGCAGCACCTTGAGCGTGCAAAATTTTGACTGAGCCTGTTGGCCCAACATGGGCGCAAGGCGTATGATATGTGCATGAGCCGCCTACGCACGATTGCCGCAGTAGTGCTGTATGATAGTGTGTTGAGCGTTGGTTTATTATCATACTATGTTGGATCACTCTATGATGATTATGATCATGTTGAATGCAATTTGATTGTTTTGTTCAGTACAGATGGTTCAGCTCAGGAAATGCCTCATCTTGCTGCCTAGAGTGATTGCCCCACCACACAGGCTCGCTCACATAGCAGAAGCGCTTGGTGTGATGATCAAGGAGACTTCTGTAAGAGGAACACGGGCCACCTTCAGCACCGAGCCCTGGCTGATCACGACGCTGGGTGGCGCAGCCGTGGCGCCGTCCACAACTAGCTGGATGCGCGTGGTGGCGGGGATGCCCAGCGCCTGGGTGACAACAGCTCCAGTGACCGCCCAGGCGTCAAGGACAGTGGTGCTCAGCAGGTGGCGCCCAGCCAGCGCCAGCAGCACCCTGTGGCGTGACACCTCGCGCGTCTGGCAGTCGGATGAGCAGGAAAACAAACACCCTTTGATGATTAGTTGTGAGGCACGTGGGCATCTGGAGCTAGACGGCTGTGGTCAATGCGCCACACAGCGCAAGCCCATGCACGAACATTGGCATGCCCCATCAGCAGTGGGCATGACGTGCTCAGCGCAAAACAGTGCCTGTGGTGCCTCCGGCAGTGTTGCATCTCACACACCTGGTACACCACATAGAAAGCATTGTCCGTGGTACCCCCCATGTTTGCCAATCCCTGAGCAACCTGCAGGGCCTTGCTGGAGTCACCCCTGATGAGAGGCCAAACAACAGGCAGGGATGAGGTCAATGTGTCAGATTCCAGCTTCACAAACACGAAAGGGTCCTCAGCAGCGACAGCCACAGCCAGTATTGTTGGGCAAACGCAGCTTCAGTTTTGCCGAGCAAGAGCTGCAGCTCACTGTCTGCCACCCGATTTTGTCTGAAAGGTCAACTCACCACCACGCTGTTGCTTGTAGCAGATTCATGTTGCCAGCGGGGTCGGAGGCAAATGTGACCCCTTCGACCGCCACCTGTATGGTTTGACCGTTCACCTCCACAGTTCCAGCGACAACCTGGTGCAGTCAAAAGGGGACAGAACGTTGGAGAGGAGGACAGAAACATGAGCATTGCGTATGCATCCCATGGGGGAGTTTTCAACAAAATCAGCAGCTGGCACGGCGAATGCAGTTGCACACGCGCCTTTCCCTGGACCCACCGGAGATGACGGTTTCTCTGAATGCGGTGGTCAAGCATCACGGCCATGGTTGCGAGCGGTCAGGTAATTACCAAGAAGTTGGGCAGGATAAGAAAATGGGTGATGGTGGTCGCACTTCACCTGGTGGCCTGGCAAGCCCGAAGCTAGAGACGGCCCAAATTTGTTGTTGATGCTAGTTTGAAGCTTCCACTCCCCAACGGCAATGAGCATAGCAGGCAGGAGTTGAATTCCACCTTACCATCACAGGTCTTCCCATTGCCCTGATAGCCGTCCTTGCAGGTGCAGGTGTAGCTGCCCGCAGTGTTAGCGCAGTCAGCATTGGTGCTACATGCAGGGGTCGTCAATGCGCACTCGTCAATGTCTGCACAGGGCAGTAGTGATTGGCAAGTGAGGGACATAACATGAGAGTGCGGATCGTGAAGGGGGAGCGTGCACAAGTAGGATGTCTGGTACACAGCAGCAGCGCGAGCAGCAGCATCACCAGTATCAACAGCATCACCACAACCACCAGCACTCGCCGCAGCAAGGCGTCACAAAGGCATAAGCGGTACAATTGTGGTGCAGACGGTCTCAAAGGTTGCGCGTGGCAGTGCGTTGTGAGCTTCAAATTTTCAATGTCACCTTTGCAGCCGGTACCAGCAACAGTACCATCACCACTGTAGCCGCCAGGGCAGGTGCAAATGACACTGCCAGTCGCGGTGTTCAAAGAGCATGCAGCGAGAAAGTTGCAGGAGGCATTCTGAATTAACGTACACAGCGGCCCCATGGGACCTGCAGTGAAACGGGCAGGCAGAGGAATGAGCTAGGGTGAGGCATGCTCAAGGATGGTCGAAGGCTGACGTGCTTTAGGTTGCCACCAACAGTGCAGGGCAAAGAACAAAAGCACGTCACATACGCCTGCAATTGCAGGGAAACGCTCCACCAGTGGTGCCGAGGATCGTCGTGTCCTGGGCCTTGCTGAGCAGGCTGCTCACCTTTGGACACGGTGATTGCAACGCTGTCAACCTTGGTGCAGCCTGCAGTGCAAACGAGTGTGAAGCCAGCCGACCAAGGCACGAGCCGCACAGTTGTTGAGCGGCACAGCTAGAGTCGGCTTCATAGTCACCCTCTAGTGTTGACAGTGCCACTGATGATAACAACACAGCAGTCGTGGACCTCACGAGCGCATATGTTTGCAGCAACATGACAAATTGAAGGCGATCATTCCAGCAAACGTACCGCCCTTGGTGGCCTGGAATTGGATGGTGCCGACGCCAACGGGCAGAGCGCTGCAGGTGAGGGTTGTGCCCGTCTTCACTGTGCAATTGGCCCAGTCCGAGGTGACATCTCCGATGGAGAAGGTTCCAAGGTCGAAGATGATGTCAGCTTTGCCGAGCTGGGTCACAGAATCGGCTTGTACACTCTTGTCAGCGCCAGCATTGATGGTGTAGAGGCCACAGTCTGCAGACCGCAAGGGGCCGCGCATGGGCACGCGTGATTCGCAGCGATGCATGCTTGCCTTACGAACATAGCAAGGGGACCTTGCGTATGGGTGCAGACGAGCTTGGACGATTGCCACCTACTGAGCTAGCTGGCAAAAAATTGATCCAACACAGGCAAGCAGGATGGTCAAGCAGCAGGATCAGAACATTGCCCCAACAATCAACCTACTGTTCACAGGGGTCATCACAGAAATTTTCACAGTAACTGTGCTCTTGCAGCCTGCGGGGACGTCAGCGGGCGGGGCAGGCCCCATACAGAAAGTTGGGATGGGCCAGCCCCCGGATAATCGCGTCAGAAACACGGTGTTGTAGATGCTCCGGCGCAGGCGACTTGACATGACGGCGCACACGTTCCAGTGCCTCTTGAGTTCCAAGGCGTTCCAAGCCAGCACTTATGTTCATCACTTCCTGTGCACCCTTGCTCACCAGCCTTGTTGGCAGCAAACTTGACGGTGGTGTCACCAGTGTCCAGGCTACTGCAGGTCCAGGTGGTGCCAGCCTTGAAAGTGCAGCTGCTGCTGTTGGTGGTGATGTCACTTGCAGTATAGCTGCCCAGGGAGAGATTGATGTCGGCAGTGCCCTTTCCTGTGGTGCTGTCCGCCTCGACAACGGCATCAGCGCTGGCATTTAGGATATAGGCGCCGCAGCCTGGAGTGCGGGAAGTGTTAGGGGACGTAATGAAATAATCTAGTGAATCTTGCTTGTGTGGCAGAATGCTATGCAGGGGCCAGCACATCAGGCCTAGAAGGTGCTGCTGACTCAGGTCGCACGAGTACTAGCCAAGCCAGCCGTCATCAAAACACAATCTTCAGCAGCAGGATGGCACTAAATGCAAGTGCCCTCCCAGCTTGTTTGATCGACCCGCCCACTTGTTACAGATAATTTGATTGTATCCACGCTCTGGCAGCCTGCAAGAAAGGCGGCAGGAGAGGCCCACAAAAATGGGAGGGTGGGTGAGCCAAAGCCCAGAGGGTACCCTGTGTTATGGCGCCGAGGACAGGCAGGTTTCTTGAATGCTTGGCAGGCGTGCACCTTTGGGTGAGGCCCGCTTGTCCACAGCATTTCCTCCCCAGCATGCATGTGGATCCTTGTGATCATGAGGATCAACGCACGTGCTGGGGAGAAACATGATCCTCCGCATCCCCGTACCAGACGACATGACCCATCACCCTTGCTCACCAGCCTTGTTGCCAGAAAACGTGACGGTGGTGTCACCAGTGTCCAGGCCACTGCAGGTCCAAGTGGTGCCGGCCTTGAAGGTGCAGGTGCTGCTGTTGGTGGTGATGTCGCTGGCGGTGTAGCCGCCCAAAGACAGACTGATGTCAGCAGTGCCCTTCCCAGTGATGCTGTCTGGCCCAACGGTGATGTCGGCGCCAGCATTGATGGTGTATGCGCTGCAGTCTGCACAAACGGGAGTAGGGGGAGGACAACGGGCATGCTTGGTCGCAGTTAGCACCAACATAGCTTTGCGAAACAGCGCGCAGCAAGGCAAAGTCAAGTCAGGTGGGTGTTGACGACTGGAATAGATGTGCGCTGGTTCAGCCAACAGGCCTGGGAATGATCCAGCACAAGCTAGGCAAAACATGGTGGTGCATGCAGCAGGATTTGTCCACTGCACCGTACTGATATCATTATGCTGGACGACTGATGCATTCATGCACCAGGTGACCACCCACTTGTCACTGTGATCCTGACAGACTCTGTGTGCTGGCAGCCTGCAGAACGGTCACAGCAGTGAGATGTGCCCAAATGAGAAGGTGGCTCAGGCCAAAGTTGTCCACCAGATCATCCCACTGTACCGACTCTGGCGCAGGTGGCTGGTGTGGGTCAGGCGCTGTACACTAAAGAGTGCTTTAAATGCCGCATGCATTTGCAGCCCCCACCTCTGGCCACCCTTGCTCACCGGCCTTGTTGGCGGCAAATGTGACGCTGGTGTCACCGGTGTCCAAGCCGCTGCAGGCCCAGGTGGTGCCGGCCTTGAACGTGCAGCGGGTGCTGTTGGTGGTGATGTCGCTGGCAGTGTAGCTGCCCAGGGAGAGACTGATGTCAGCAGTGCCCTTGCCCGTGAGAGCATCGGTCCCGACCGTGATAGCAGCGCCGGCGTTGATGGTGTATGCGCTGCAGTCTGCGGAATTGAGGAGTTGATAGTGGAAACTTGGCATGCGTTTTTGGCAGCCGCACATGCTGTCACAACCGCGCACAACAAGACAAAGGTGGCCTGGTGGGTGTTGATGATGACAATGTTGTTGGATGCCCTAGTTCAACCGGCACGCCCAACTTTCATTCAGCACAGGGAACAACAGGGTGGTGGGTGCACAAGAATTCGTTCGATGCGCCACCCGTTGACCACCCACTTGTCACAGTGATCTTGACAGAATCTGAGTGCAGGCAGCCTGCAGGGACGGCACGGCGGTGTTATTGGCCAAGATGAGAGGGTAGCGTAAGCCGGAGTCCAGCGGATCGCTCTATCGTACTGGCTGTGGCGCAGATGGCTGGTGTCAGCTATGAATTGAGTACTTCCAGTGCCGCTTGCGTGCACAGCTCCCACCTCTGGCGCCCTTTGCTCACCGGCCTTGTTGGCGGCAAACGTGACGGTGGTGTCACCAGGGTCCAGGCCGCTGCATGTCCAGGTGGTGCCGGCCTTGAAGGTGCAGCGGTTGCTGTTGGTGGTGATGTCGCTGGCGGTGTAGCCGCCCAGGGAGAGACTGACGTCGGCAGCGCCCCTTCCCGTGACGGCGTCAGCCCCAACAACGACGTCAGCGCCAGCATCAATGGTGTAGGCGCTGCAGTCTGAAGAGCCGTGGGCAGATATCAGGGAGGTGAGCTCATAGCAGTGGTTGCTTGCGGAGCAGCGCAACTAGGGCAGAACCTATTGCAGTGATTTCAAACGGCTGGGTTATGGGAGCTGACCCGCCGCAGAGCTCAAGCTGAACCGCCGCAGCCGCTGGGGCAGGGGCAGGATGAAGGTCTTTCTGCAAAGTCCACGAGCTGCATTTTCCACGCACCTGAAACGAAAACTTTGATGGTATCTGTGCTCTGGCAGCCTGCAGGGATGGAAACGGGACGCTTCCAAATGGTAAGGTGAGCCAAAAAATTTCCACACAGCAGGGACGGTCTGGATTGAGGACTCTGGCACATGTGGCCAGGGGCAAGCTGGACATGCAAGCGCCTTGTGTGCAGCAGGTTGCATTCTCACAGCCTTTGTGTTGATCCGCACCACCCTCAACCCTGATGGCGCGGCCCAGCTTACGCACTTACCGGCTTTGATGGCGGCGAACGCAACGGTGGTGTCACCAGAAACGAGGTTACTGCAGGTCCAAGTGTTGCCATTCTTAAAAATGCAATTTGTGTTGTTGATTGTGATGTCACTGGCGGCGTAGCTGCCCAAAGAGAGTGTGATGTCAGCTGTGCCTTTCCCAGTGATGCTGTCGGTCCCAACAGTCACATCAGCGCCGGCGTCGATGGTGTAGACGCTGCAATCTGCGCAACGAGGAGCGCGGAGGTGCATCCCAGGCGGCACGCCATATTGGAAGCACCAATAAATGTGCTGAAACAGCACAGAGGAAGCAGGAGGCAGGCCTGGGTGCTGATAACTAGAGTGCAACGAATGACAGACAGCTGGGATGCCGGTCCTGATGAACTTGGCCTAGCACAGGAGAAACATGGCAAGGAACACAGCACAATTGCAACGATTCCCCCCACTGCACGCTCAGTATGCGTACTTGTGACAGAAATCTTCACAGCATCTGTGCTCTGACAGCCTGCAGGGACGGCAGGTTGCAGGACAGGCCTCACAAGTGGCGGGAGTTGCTGCACTCCTGCATGCAAGTTTGCTGGGAAAATCTCCAACTTGCATGTACAAGGGGGTAGTGAGCAAGAGTCGCGCAAGCAAGGACGCTTGCATGTATGGTGTCCGTCCGAAACGAGCCATTTTCAACCTTCATCAATCGTGCGGACACATCGCCACACCCTGACTCACCGGCCTTGTTGGCAGCAAAACTGACGCTGGTGTCACCGGTGTCCAAGCCGCTGCAGGTCCAGGTGGTGCCGGCCTTGAAGGTGCAGCTGCTGCTGTTGGTGGTGATGTCACTGGCGATGTAGCTGGCTAGGGAGAGATTGATGTCAGCAGTGCCCTTGCCCGTGACAGCATCGGTCCCAACAGTGATGTCAGCGCCGGCATTGATGGTGTAAATGCTGCAGTCTGCGAATCAAGAGGCAGCAGGACGCAGGCATGGGGGGCAGGCCATGCCCACATGTGAGCGACTACTCGCGCTTGTGTCTCAGTGTCGAGCAAGGCAGTTGGGCGCTGAGAACTGGGTGGTTGGTAGCTATCACAGCACAATATGATCCGCAAAGTGAGGACCCTCAGTACAAAGAGCCCGAGCAAAGGCCACTCGCTGCACCGCGCGCGCACTTGACACAGAAATTTTGACGGCGTCTGCGGTCTGGCAGCCTGCAGGGATCGTCGGACAGGCGGCAACGGGAGGGTGGGGTAACCAAAGTCCAGCAGGCATGCATAATTGCGGAGGACTCTTGCACAGGTGGCTGGCGAGAGGTAGGCCAAGTGGACGGCTTGTGCTCAGGGCCGATTGCCTGCCCTGTCGGCAATGTAGGAGTCCCAAATCCCGGGCACAAAATCCTGTTGCCTTGCTCTCACCGTCCTTGGTGCCTGCAAACGTGACGGTGGTGTCACCAGTATCCAGGCCGCTGCACGTCCAAGTAGTGCCGGCCTTGAAGATGCAGCGGGTGCTGTTCGTGGTGATGTCACTGGCGGTGTAGCTGCCCAGGGACAGGCTGATGTCAGAAGTGCCCTTTCCCGTGGCGGTCTCAGCCCCAACAGCGACATCAGCGCCGGCATCGATGATGTAGGCGCTGCAGTCTGCAACTCAGGGGGCAGCAGCAGGGAGAGGGGGCATGGCATGCCCAAACATGAGCGACAGCAACATGTGCTGTTGGCACAGCGTTGAGCAAGGACATTGGGGGCTGAAGAGTGCAGTGGGTGAGAGCTGACAGAAAAAAAATGTCAGCCGGCACAGCAAAGACACTCAGGGCAAAGATCCTGCAGCAGCTTCCACATGCTGCACCGCCCGCGCACTTGTCACAGAGATCTTGACGACGTCTATGGTCTGGCAGCCTGCAGCAATTGCGGGACGGACCGCGAAGGGAAGGTAGGGTCGCCGCAACCTAGCAGGCATGCTTGACTGAAGGGGACCTTGTCGCAGGCGGCTAGCGTGCGGCTTGACAAGTATGCTCAGGGCTTGCTTGCCCTGTTCCAGGTGTTCCCAATCCCACGCGTAAAACATCGACATCTTGCTCTCACCATCCTTGTTCGCGGCGAATGCGACAATGTGCACCCCAGGAACCAGGTTGCTGCAGGTCCAGGTGGTGCCGGCCTTGAAGGTGCAGCTGCTGCTGTTGGTGGTGATGTCACTGGCGGTGTAGCCGCCCAGGGAGAGATTGATGTCAGCAGAGCCCTTCCCGGTGACGGTCTCGGTCCCAACAGTGATGTCAGCGCCAGCATTGATGGTGTAGGCGCTGCAGTCTACATCGCATTTGTGGAGAAGTTTGTGGTCCATCACCAGGCCTACGACAGGTATGCCTGCACGCAGGCACGGCAAGCAGGCAGGGCAACAGGCGAATGGTGCCGGGGCGTGCGTGCGCTGCTCACTCACTTGAAACGGTGATTTGGACGGCCTGAGCTTTCACACACGCTGCAGCGGTTGCATGCAACAGCGAACGATTGTTGCTTGATCAGGGAGGTTGCAAGCCTAGCAAATTACTGTTAATCCATCCAGGTCAATTGTCGTGCTGCAACAGCCACAAGTGCACGCACCCCCGCATAGCGGCTGCGTCGGTCGACACCAATATGCCAGACGCCTTGCAAACAGGCTACGGCTGAGCAATTACGGGAAAGTCACGAGCCAGGCGTTGGCGTCTGGCCTGCAAACTCACCATCCTGGTCGGCGGTGAAGGTGACCAAAGTGGTGCCAATGTCAAGGCCGCTGCAGGCCCATGTTGTGCCTGTGTCATACACGCACTTGGCATTGTTGCTGCTGACATACTCCGTTGAGTAGGTCCCCAAAGTCAACGCAACTGCAGCGGCTCCCTTTCCAGTGATACCATCAGCCCCAACAATACTGTTGGTGCCAGCAAGTGTGTAGGGGCTGCAATCTGTGGTCCAAAATGAAGGGGCATGAGGTGGGGCATCTGTGGGCTGTGATGTTCGGCAACTGGTGGGAAAAGGGTTGATACAGTCACCACAGACAACGTATTGGAAAGTTTGCAACTGTGTGCGGCATCACTCCACATGCAACTCAATATGACTACGTTGCTGTCCAGGTACTTGCCATTCACACGGCCATTAGCAAGTTCAATCTTGCACGTTCCAGTGTTCAAGTCCCTGAGCATGCGCGTAGATGTGCATGTACATGTGTGTGTGTGCATGTGTGTGTGTGAACACATGGTGTATGTGCACGTGCTGACCGTGCGCTATTTCTGGCATGACAACCTACACGTTGGCGTGCGTGTGTGTGCATAATTATCGTGGTGTGTGATGCATGTGTCCACACATCCTCAACACATAGTTGGATATAGGCACGCCAGGGATCACATTCTCTGAGAGGTCCATGATCTCTAGATAGAGTGTGAACAAAAGGCACACAAGAGGACGCGCGCAGTACCAAGGTTGAACAGTAAATCAAGCACAATCATCAGCATCCTGCCCAGATCACAGCCTGCATTGCAAAATTTCAGCACCGCATGTGTGACAATGAGTAATGAAAGCAAAAGGCTCACCAATTGCTCTGGATAAGCCAACGCTGGATGGTACCGTTGATGTTCCACGCCACATTGTAGAAGGGGCCGACACTGTTGTACCTCGTCTGGCCAACAAAGTTCCAGGCACACTTGTCTGGTTGTTTTTGTGTGTGTGTGTGTGTGTGTGTGTGTGTGTGTGTGTGTGTGTGTGTGCGCGCGTGCGTGCGTGGGTGAAGGGTGGGTGGG